GAGATGTCACTCCTTACTTGCCAAGAATAGCTAAGATGAAAAAGTACTAGTGAAGCTGGTAGAACAGGTAAAACTGTCGTATACCAGTGATGGGAGTATAGCTGACACAACCACTTTTGAGGACCAGTTGATAGTATCTCCTAAAACTGATATATATGATATATATGTTGCATGAAAGAAGCCAGAGACACAAAGGAAAATAAGTGGTATGAGTTCATTTGTGTAAAATTCAGAGACAGGACCAGGCATGGTGGCTCGTGCCTGTAATCCCAGCACTTTGGGAGGCTGAGGCGGGTAGATCATGAGGTCAAGAAATCAAGACCATCCTGACCAACATGGTGAAACTCCGTCTCTACTAAAAATACAAAAATTAGCTAGGTATGGTGATATGTACCTGTAGTCCCAGCTACTCGGGAGGCTGAGGCAGGAGAATCATTTGAACTCAGGAGGCGCGGAGGTTGCAGTGAGCCAAGATCACACCACTGCACTCCTGCCTGGCGACAGAGTGAGACTCTGTCTCAAAAAAAAAAAAATTAGCCAGGTGTGTGGTGGTACATGCCTATAATCCTAGCTACTGAGGAGGCTGAGGTATGAGTATCACTTGAGTCTGGGAGGCAGAGGTTGCAGTGAGCTGAGATCACGCCCCTGCAGCCCAACCTCAGCAACAGAGTGAGACTCTGTCTCAAAAAATAAATAAGTTCAAAGACAGACTAATTTGTTATATTAGAACTAAGGATAGTATTAATCTTTGGAATGGAGGGTAGGGTTAGTGGTTAAGAAGTGTTACAAGGGGAGCTTTTCTGTACATTGAGCTTGTACACTTATGATTTGTATATGTGTTACATTTCAGTGTAACGTTGCTTTCAAATGAGATAGTATGTGTAAGCTGCTTAGCATAATGCCTCACTCATGAAAATGAATTCAGTTCAATAGTTGGCAGCATTAACCATTTACTGTGATTTAGTGCTCTGTGGTAGTAAGATTCATGGCTGTTACCCAGCAGAACTTTCTGCAGTAATTAAAATGTTCTGTATTTGTGCTGTTCGGTTTCACAGTCATTAGCCACAAGTAGCTGTTGAACATATGAAATATGACTAGTGTGACTGAAGACTTACTTTAAAATTTTGCTTAACTTTAATTAGAACTTAAATACCCAACATGTGGCTATTATATTGGATGGTGCAGGTCTAGGGTTTTTGTCATAAGAAATGAATGACTAAAGGAGAATACCAATGAAGTTCATTTGCGTCATTGAACAAATCAGGAAACTGAGAGACCAGAGTGTCAGATCGATTGTGCGTATATACATTGAAGAATGCTCAGGATCATGGCAACATCTGATTGGAGTAGGAGACTGTTAGCTAGGTTCCAGAGTCTTCAAAGAAGCCTCGTTTAAAGTAATGTTTTCTCCCATTTAGACTATCTAAAGTACACAGAGAGAAATTTTCTGCAGCAGCAACAGATGCTCCAGAGAAGTTTTTTTTGTTTTTGTTTTTGTTTTTTAAGACAGAGTCTCACTCTATCATCTAGGCTGGAATGTGGTGGTGTGATCTCAACTCATTGCAGTCTCTGCCTTGAAATGATTCTCCTGCCTTGGCCTCTCAAGTAGCTGGGATTACAGGCATGTGCCACCATGCCTGGCTAATTTTTATATTTTTAGTAGAGACAGGGTTTCACTATGTTGACTAGGCTGGTCTTGAACTCCTGACCTCAGGTGATCCGCCCACCTCAGCCTCCCAAATAGGATTACAGACGTGAGCCACTGTGCCTGTCCTCCAGAGAAGTTCTGTGCAACCAAACTAGAGTAATAATGTGGTCATTGAAGATCTGTGAGGCAGAAGTTTGATGCAGTGAGAGGGAGCCAGCGTGTAGGAGTGGATGAAAAGTTAAGGTATGGCCAATTTTCAAAAAGCTCCTCTCTGAAGGCAATGTGAGGGGAGGTGGTAGCTAGAGGGAGATGTGGAATTTTGCTTTTGTTTAACAAATGCTGAGAAACAGAGCTTGAGAAATGACCTTAAAAAGTGAAATTTCTTCATATTTTTCAACATTTAAAAGTTTAAAATATTAAAATAATAATAATTATTTTTTTGATACAGAGTTTCGCTCTTGTTACCCAGGCTGGAGTGCAATGGCACAATCTCGGCTCACCGCAACCTCTGCCTCCTGGGCTCAAGCAATTCTCCAGCCTCAGCCTCCCAAGTAGCTGGGACTACAGGCATGTGCCATCATGCCCAGCTAATTTTTGTATTTTTAGTAGAGACAGCGTTTCACCATGTTGACCAGGATGGTCTTGATCTCTTGACCTCGTGATCCACCCCCCTCGGCCTCCCAAAGTGCTGGGATTATAGGCGTGAGCCACCACACCTGGCCTTATTATTTTATAATTTAAAAATTTTAAATAAGTTCCTCAGTCACACTAGTCATATTTCAAATGTTCAACAGCCACTTTGTGGCTAGTGACTATGAAACTGAACAGCATAAATACAGAACATTTTAATCACTGCAGAAAGTTCTGTTGGATAACAGTGCCATGGATCTTGTCATCACAGAGCACTAAATCACAGTGAATAGTTAATGCTGCCAGCTGTTGAACAGAACTCATTTTCATGAGTGAGGTATGTGGGAGAAATGTTGAGGCTGAGTTCATATAGGGTCTCCTCTGTGAGGTGGGGCGGAAGGAAGCCGGGTGACGATAGTGGAAATGTTGGTTGTGCCAGATTTTAAATAGCCTTGAATGACATTATGAAGTAATGCTGACTTTATCTGTTAGTTCATAGAGAGCCAAGGAAGATTTTAAACATGCGAGTCTCCTATAAGTCTGTGCTTCAGAAGTATTACTCTGGCAATAGCAAGGACTGAAAGCTAACTGTAAAGTGTCCAGACTAAAGGCTGACAGATTGTTATCAAACAAGAAACAACGAAAGCCTGAATTACAGCAGTAGCAGAGAGGATGGAGACAAATTGGTGAACTTAATAGTTTAGAGATGGAATGAGCACAACCTGTGGTGATGGAACAAGGGGAAGTTGTACAGACCTGTTTCTACTGGAGTTTACTAGGAGACTGGTGAGCTTACATTTGGGTTCTTTATTAAGGAGCTCAAAAGAAAAACAGGCATTTGAGAGTAGAGTAAGTTGCAACAGCTTTGTTAAAATTTAATATATATACTAAGCAATTTATCCACTTGGAGTATACAATTTATGTTTTTAGTGTACTCACAGAGTTGTTCAACCATCATCGTAGTCCATTTTAGAATGTAAAAGAAACCTAGTATAGAAACCTAGTATACCCATTAGTAGCCATTCCCCGTTTCACCCCAACCCACCCAGCACTAGACAACTACTAATCTACTTTCAGTCTGTGAATTTGCCTATTCTGGACATCTCTTATAAGTAGAATCATGTAACATGTCATTTTTTTTTTTTAATAGTGATGGGATTTCACCTGGTTGGTCAGACTGGTCTTGAACTCCTGACCTCAGGTGACCCACTTGAGTCCCCTTAAGTGATTTCAGTTCCCGTCGTTCAGGGCTCTGTTTTTATCCACAGCATACTGCTTCTCTTATCACCAACCTGAGGCATTTGACCTATTCTATGTTCTTTAGTCATTCTCTCTGGAATACTTAAGATACTTATTTCTTTTTTTTTTTTTTTTTTTTTTTTTGTATTTTTTTTTAGTAGAGACGGGGTTTCACCATGTTGACCAGGATGGTCTCGATCTCTTGACCTCGTGATCCACCCGCCTCAGCCTCCCAAAGTGCTGGGATTACAGGCTTGAGCCACCGCGCCTGGCCATGATACTTATTTCTTAAGGACACTGACCAATAGATTCCCTATTTTGCTTAGTTTCCTGTCTCTTTCCTTAATTTCTATTGTCTTCACAGAATCCATATAGTTGAATATTTTTAAAAAGGGGGGCAGGTGTTGTGGCACACTTCTGTAATCCCAGCACTTTGGGAGGCTGAGGCAGGAGGATCACTTGAGGTTAGGAGTTCAAGACCAGCCTGGCCAACAAGGTGAAACTCCATCTCTACTAAAAATACAAATGTTAGCTGGGTGTGGTATCATACACTTGTAATCCTAGCTACTCAGGAGGCTGAGGCAGGAGAATTGCTTGAACCTGGGAGGTGGAGGTTGCATTGAGCCGAGATCACACCACTGCACTCCAGCCTGGGTGACAGCCTGGGCAACAGAGTGAGACTGTCTCAAAAAATAATAATAAAAAAATATTTTTTAAAAAGGGTTAAAACCTACCTAGTCCGCCTCCCCAAAATAACTTATAAATGCATTTTCCCATTATATGTGACCGCCCACCCCCAGTTTGGAGAGTTGTTCATATTCTTATTTAGAAACATATACTAATTATGTACTTAAGTGCCATGTGTCAAATAAAATAGTCCTTGATTTCTAAGATTTCATAGTGGTTCAGTAGGAAGAGGCTGACATATGAACACATAATTACAGTATACTGTGAAAAGTGCTCTTGCAGGGCAATGTACAAGTGGTTATGGGAGCACCTGGAAGAAGGGGTTGGGACAATGTTTTGAAGCAAATGTCACCTGACATTTCTACACTAACAAGTATATACTATCACAGAAGCAGCCTGATGAAGAGCACCTGCCTTCTTTCAGCCTTGCAACAACCTGGTGAGGTGTAGGTTTTTGACTCCCATTTTAGAGAGCATTCTGAAGTTCAGAAAGGCTCAGTGGCTGGCTCTTAAAACACAGATTCTAGATTCAGCTTCTGTGTTTGTCCCCTCCCCCTCCCAGGACATCTATGCCCTTAAGGCATAGAATGTACCTATGCACGGTACTAGAGTGTCCTGCCAGCTCCTCTCATTTAGTTCTTTCTCCTTAAGCAAAACTAGAGTCTCAGATTCCTCTTTTCTGTGTCTAGCCTGCTTCCAGTGTCGTTGGTGCATTGAGTATTCCAGGGCTGTAGCAGTAGTGAATATTGCTGATGTCATTGTTTGCCTTATTGGGATTTTGCTCTTTGTTTCACAGGGAGCTGTGATTGGTATAGACGATGAGGACGACAGCACCTTCACAATAACTGTTGATCAGAAAACCTTCCATTTCCAGGGTGAGCTGAAAGAAGAGATTCTTTCTCTTCATAGTCCCATCTGCTTCTTTCCTTCTCTTTTGGGTTGTTTGCTGGATGACTTTAATGGTTTTGCAACTGATCCTGCATGAACGAGTGCACAGGAACGTTCTGGATGAAGTGGTACTGCAGGTTAGGCAGGGATTTGTGTCTGCAGTGGATGTAGATCAGTTTGAAACGACTGTGGATCTGGCTGCAGTTGGAGATTAAAAATTTTAAAGGATAAAAATCAGTAAAGGGAAAGAGTAATGGGCTGCTGCTGCTGCTGGCTTGTGTTTACAGAAGGTTGCTGATCTTCTTTATCAGGGAGTATGGTTCTGCTTCTGCATGAAGAATCTAAAGACTGATTTCGAAGGTTGCAGTGTTTGTCTGTGTAAAACTCAAAATATAAATTAAATTGAAGCTTAGTGGCAACCTTTGACTTAAAGGTTTTCCTCTGCTTCAAAAACTACAAGTTTGCATTCATTTCATCTGTATTTCTGTTTTGTCTGCCAGCCATCATTTCTCTGCTGTTATCCTTTTTATAGTTAAAAACACCTATGCCATCTGCCACTGCTATGTTTCGGCATTGCATTCTGTGGTTCACCGGTAGAAAGGGTAAGGTACTGTATGATCATTCTCATTTCATCTTGCTTTGAAAACTCTAAACCAGAAAATAAAAGTCAATTTTAATGATCCTGTCCTAAAGAACCTTTTGTCTGTTAGGAGTATCTGTTACTTTTAGTATTAATGGTTTTGTTATTTTGCCTTTTCAGAGTATCATTCTTTTATGATTAGAGCAGTCCAAGAAACTTAGAAATAAAAAGATTAGGAGAGGTTAGCACTTTCTCCCAACTACAAGTAACAGTGCACTGTTAGAGATGCTAGGTATGCCAAAATAAATACATATTAAATACATTTATTGCTTTAAAATGTTTTGGTTATGAAGTCTAACAGAGGCCAGATAGGTTATGTGAGGTATTTAGGCAGCTATTATCTTTTTGTGCTAGGATAGTGCAGTTATTTTTCTTTATTGTCTTGTTTCAGAAATTGACACAGTAATGAAAGATGCAGGTTATATTCAACAAACATAAACCAGTGTACTCAATAGTGATATCTCTAATACGTTCTTCTGCATATCCTTAAAGTATTTACTGTGTTTGGTGATATTATTTATTCAGAGCTGCTTAAATAATGATGCTCTCCTGAAATTTTCTGCTGTATTTAACTTCCTAAAACATTTTAAATCCTTTTATGAAAGCCCAGAGTCTTTATTTTTAGGTTAAATGTGTAATGCTGCTTATAAACCAAAGCAGATAATTCCTACACCCCGAAACTCTACTTGCATGAAGTTGAATATTTTAATGCATTTCAAGAAAGCTGCTGGGTGCAGGTAGGGCCGCAGTATGGAATTCTCTTGTCTGTAGTTGCTAAGGAGACACCTCCTTTGGACCCTCAGAAGTTGTATTGTTTACTTGTTTAAAGGAGAAGAGACTCAGATCTTTAGAGCAAAGGTACTTCTACCTTCTGATTTACTTTTAAATTATTTATCTCCCCATTAGCACTCTAATATTTATGTGGCTGATAAAACAAGAAATTTTCCTAAGGAAGGATTTAAATAATAGAGTTACAATTTAAATATTTTAAAAAATTGATTCATAATTCTGAAACTGTCAGAATATTCCGTTTATTTTCTGTTGTAGTAGTTATGAGAGTCTTAGCTCTGGATTCTGGATTTTGCAAAGAACTTGGTAAGACTGTATTTTGTGTTGTGAATAATGAGAGCTATTTCACATTCATAGGTTCTTGATCATAAAAACTCTGCAAATTTGATAAAAAGTTATCAGTGAGAGATCTTAAATTCTTGATTAGAACTGAACGCAAATTTTAGCTATATACGTGAACATATGTTTAAATGTGCTGAAGTTTTTATTGAATACACCAGGTTTTTTGAAAGCAAATGAAATATCAGTTCATGCATTTATAAAACAAATTCTACTCTTAGCTATTAAAGGGAAAGCTAGAGTTTGTTCAGATACATTCATTTATTCATTCAACATCTATTTTAGACATTATTCTGGGGATATAGTGGTATACAAAACAGATAAGACTCCTTGCCCTTTAGGTCATCCATTCCAATAAAAGAGAAAGGTAATCAACACGATAAGTTCATACAATATAAGTAAATGAAAGTGATAAGACCTAGGGAGAAAAACATAAAATAGGAAAGGAGAAAATGAAATAGAAGTTCATATGGGGAGGGGGAAGGTGTTGAAATTTTAAATAGGGTGGTTAGGGTAAGACTCACTAAGATGGTGCCTTTTAGAGAAAGAGCTGAAGAAAGTGAGGAAATAAGGTATATGGCTATGTTGGGGAGGGAGATGGGGTGGATACGTCATTTCTCTATCTGGAATGACGTACCCACTCTGCCTCCCTCCCCAACACTGTCATATACTTTGTTTTGTTTTTGTTTTTCTTTTTTTAGTTTATAGTCATATATTTGAAGAACAGCTGGAGGCCAGCTCTGGTTGGAGTGCAGATAACCATGGGGGAGAGAATGGGGGATGAAATCTGAGAGGACACAGGAAGTCCAGTCATATGAAGCCTTTATACGGGCATTGAATTTGACTGAGATAAAAGGCCATTAGAGGGTTTTGAGCAGAGGGGTAACATGGTGTGATTTATGTTTTAACAGGATGACTCTGGCCACTGTGTTGGGCGTAAAATTCAGAGGGGCAAGGGCAGAAGTCGGGAAACTATTTCTGCAGTAGGAGACTGTTGTAAACCAGAGGAGTGGTGGTAGTGCTCCCACATGTTAGTTAGCAGTGGAGATGGGGAGATAGCGAGAAGTGTTTGAATTGTGTGTATGTTTAATCAACTTTATTGAGGTATATTAACATATATCATAACTACCACCACAATCAAGATATAGATTCCATCATTCCAAAAGATTCCTTTATACCTCTGTCAGTCAGTTCCCAGCTCCAGCCCCTGGCCGTAAGCAACCACTGATCTGCTTTCTGTCATCGTAGAATAAATGTTTTGTTTGGAGAATTTCACATAAATGGAATCATACAGTATGTACTCTCTTGTCTGGCTTTATTTTAGCTCAGCATAATGTTTTTAAGATTCATCCATGTTGTTGCATATATTAGTAGTTCCTTTTATATTGCTAAGTAATATTCTGTTATATGATGGTGTATTTATTCTGAAGGTTGAGCTGTAGCATATGACAGAAAGACAAGTCTAGGTCAAGTAACAAGAATGGAGTTGCCATTAACTGAAGTGGAAGATCGCAGGAGGAACTAATTTGGGAAGGTGAGGGAAATGTGAGCATCAGGAGCTTGGCTTTGGACATATTTATTAAACAAGCTTTAGATATCCACCAAACAGGCAAATGGAGATGTCAAGTAGACAGTTGGAGTTCAGCGGAAAAGTTTGGACTGGAGAAATAAAGTTGGGAGTCATGGGCACATAGATGGTATATAAAGCCACAAGAATTTGGGAGTAAGTATGGAGAGAAAAGAGGTCCAACTACTGAGCCCTGGGGCACTCAGCATTTATTTAGAGGGCACAAGATGAGATAAAACCAGCAAGAGATCGAGAAGCAGCAGTCAAAAAGGAGGAGGAAAACCAAGGGAATATGGTATCCTGGAAGGCAATAAAAGGTGTTTCTAGGAGGAGAGAAGGATCAACAACTGTGTTAAATTCTACTGACAGATCAAGTAAGATGAGGATTGAGAAACAGTTGCAGGATTTAATAATGAGGAGTTTATTGATAACCCTGAGAAGAGTGATTTTAAGATAGGAGTATAGACAATGCATTCAAGTTTTGATGTAATGGGAAGATGAGAAACATAGCTGGAACTGGAAGGGGAAGTTGTAACAAGGGAGCTTTTGTTTTGTTTTTGTAGGATAAGAGAAAAAATAGCATTTCTATGTCGTTGGCAGTGATTCAGTAAAGAGGGAAGAATTGATGACGCAAGAGAGAAAGGAAAAAGTTGCTGGATCACTGTCCTGGAGAAAGCAAGAGTATGGGATTTAACACACAGGTGGGAGCAGTGTCTTTGGCTTGGAGCATGGACAGTTTATCTAAAGTATTATAACACAGCTGTGATTGTTGATGAGACCTTAAACAGATTAAAGCAGTGGTAATAGGGAGGAAAACAGACTAGATTTGATATTTTAAAAAATCTAGAGAACTGGGGCACAGTGGTGTGCACCTGTAGTCCCAGCTATTCAGGAGGCTGAGGCCAGAGGACCACTTGAGCCCAGGAATTTAAGATTGTAGTGTTCTATGATCACACCTGTGCATAGCCACTGCACTCTAGCCTGGGCAATGTAGTGATGCCCTGTCTCTAAAAAAAAAATTGTTTTAATCTATAGGAACCGGTGATTGCTCGGAAATGGGAGGTGAGAGAATTTGGGTACTAAGAGTGATGCTCTTGGCTTGGCTTACTGTTGGATACTGTTGTCAACAGCATCTCCCTCTCTCCCTTCCCTTTTTCTTTCTTTCTTTCTGTTTTTAGTTATATATATATATAAAATTTTATTTTATTTTATTATTTTTTTTGAGACAGGGCCTTGCTCTGTCCCCCAGGCTGGAGTGCAGTGGCATGATCATGACTCACTGCAGCCTCGACTTCCTGGGCTCAAGCGATCCTCCCACCTCAGCCTCCCAGGTAGCTGGGACTACTAAAAAAAAATTAGCCTGTACCACCATGGCCAGCTAATTTTTTTTAAATAAATTTTTTTATTTTAATAGTTATTTTTTGAGTTAAAACTCATATGTATATGTATGTTTAATCAACTTTATTGAGGTATAACTCATTATGTTGCCAGGGCTGGTCTTGAACTCCTAGGCTCAAGCAATCCTCCTGCCTTAGCCACCCAAAGTGCTGGGACTTCAGGTGTTAGCCATCGTGCGTCACTGTCAACATCTGAAGTAGAGCATATAGGAGAGCAGAGGTAGTGGTGAGAGGGACTTCTTATGTTTGAGGTGT